TGTATACGGGGGGAGCGATAGCATGGTTTTTCAGGAGTGGGGGGGGGGGGGGTCGGTCACTGCTCTTGATATGGTTTGGTCGCCCTTTTTGATTGTGCATCTGTGTTTGCTGCATGACAGCAGTCGTTCGGCCATTGGTCGCCAAGTATCTTGATTCGAAGTGCGAACGGGCGCGGGGGGGGGGGTAAGGGGGGCACGATGAAAATTCAACGCTGTGTAACGATACTTGTACGTTTTGACGTCTTGTGTCATGCGCGGCGAGGGTGTAGAGTACGCTCGATAAGCCTGTCAACAAGCCCATTCGCACACTCAGAACGCTCTGGATATCAACAAGAAGTTATTTTTACGTCCCTGCGCCCCTCGCCGCCCCCCGTCCTACGTGTGAGTTGCCACGTACCTAAGTGTGCCGAGTACGCCCTGCTCCTGCCATCGCCGCCACCGCGGAGCCCCCCGTTTTCGGGTACATACAACATGAGAATCTTCCGAGAATCTTCACGTCACCGAAAGTGCGCTGTTCAGGCTATGAACCACGACAGCGACGTTCGTTTTTATATATTTTTTCTTGGCGTTCCTTCTCGTTCTGGTTCTGGTTCACGTTCTGTTCTGTTCTGTTCTGTTCTGTTCTGGCAGACGAGTGCACCCCGTTCCACGTGGACAAGGACTACACCAAGTCCTCCATGCACCGCACGCACCGGTGGGCGATGCGCAGCCTGAGGGAGTTCATCGACGGGGACGATGGCACTCAAGCGGTGGGTGTGTCGATGTCTGCATGTTTTGTACTTGGGATGTTTTGTGGGTGCTTTTATTTTTGCATCGACCGCGCTAACCGGTCAACCAATGAAAACATGTCAGTTTCAGTGCGGCTGAAAACACAAAATGCTTGTGAGGGAGAAAGGGAGGGAGGGATGGATGGAATGAAGACACGTATCTAGGTGGGGGCAGGAGGCTGCGTGTGGGATGGCACGAAGCGGCGGAAGGGATGGGAACCAAGAGAGCACGACCCAGCCGCGCGCGGAGTGTCGCATGACCACCAGATACAACGGTCATTGTTTTGTGTTCTGGCAGAGATTTCTTCCTCGTGCAGGAAACACAGAAAAGACGGACGGAAGTCGACGGCCGCACCTACCCCCTCATCCCCCCCCCCCCCCCCTCCTCACTCTGCCGGACCGTCCCCGTCTGCTTCCGTCCGACTCTTTCGCCTACAATCGCACGGGTGGTGGTACGTGTTCGATGGCGTTCATGTCCTGCGGTGCGTTGTTGACGTCACGCCTTGCCACATTTGTTGCAGCTGTACGGCATCATCCAGGGGGGCGTGTACCCGGACCTCAGGAACGAAGCGGTGGAGTTCGTCAACAAGGCGCCCTTCTTCGGAATCGCCGTCGGGGGTAGTCTTGGAGCTGACAAGGTAATTGTTAATTATAGTAGTCTATTATAGGTGTGCTTGCGCGGGCACGTGGGTGTACTTGGTCGTGTCGTGGATCCTTGGCTCTTCCGTATATCGCTCCATCGTTGTCTCTCTTTCTCTCTTTCTCTCTCTCTGGTGCCAGCAAAACGGCTTGGATATTTCTCAATGCCCTTGCCGTGTCAATGCTAGCTAGCACTGCCTTTGTAGTGTCATCGCCCGGTGTGAGTCGTGCCAAGATCACATTGCAATGTGGTGAAAACGACACACATGCCCACTGCTGTGCTCTAGACATTTCGCTACCCTCTCTTCCTTGGTGGCGGACGTGCCCTTGTGTTCCTTCCTCTCAACACCCCCTCTCTATTTTGTTTTTCATCGCGCCTTTTCCAACTGCTGTTAGGCGACAATGCACCAAGTGGTGTCTCACACCATGGCGAACGTGCGACGCGACCGTCCGGTTCACCTTTTGGGGATTGGCGGAATCGCCGATATCTTCCACGGGGTGAGCGCTGCAGGCAGTAGATACATCGCTTGTGGCGTTTTTATTGAAGCGTGTTATTCGACGAGATGACGAAAAGCGACAAGCTGCACAACACAAAATAAACAGCAGCATTTTCGGCTTTTACCATCACATGTTGGCGCGCTTAGAGCGCATTATTGTGTTTTCGAAGCGGTTGTTGCCCTTGGCGGCATGCTACACGAGGGTTAGCAGGAGACGGACACGTTCGACTAGGTATCACGTGTCCTGTCCCTTCCTCCTTCTTGCAGGCGTGTTGTGTGTTGAGGAAAGGTATGCCGTCAGAATGGACCAGGACACCACCGTGAGAGGGTACGGGTAAGGTACATAGGACAGAAAAGTCTTGGCTGCGATTGACCTCTTGTCTCGTTTCTCATTGCACAAAGGGTAGATTTTCCCATATTCCACTAAAAGTAGACGACGGGATGGAGTTAACTCGGATCATCACGCACCGTACCGTTGGCAACCTGTTATGGAGTGTCCACCGTCGTGGGCATTGCCGTGAACGAAAAGTCACGTGTACGAACGAGACCATGCTGTCGCACACCTACCTATTTGGCAGCGGGGTAGGGAGACGGATCGACGTCGTTTCTTATGCTGTGTTGTTGACAATGGCGCCATCGCGTCTGTAATCTTGTGGCCCCCCTGAAAGCCAGGTCCTGCAGGGATTGTAGAGACGCCCCACGCGGCGCACGTTCTTCTCTAAGCCCTTACCCCCTTCCCCGCCCGCCTTGTTGGAGGCACCTAAGCTTGATTTTATCACCGATCATCGCACCATATGTACTCTCGGCAAGGGATGTGTGCCTGCCACATGCAAGCAACCACTGTTTCTTAACCCTCTCTCACCCTCGCACCACCATTCCTACGGTACTCCCTCGTGTGGTTTGCTGGTCTCTCTCTCGAAACCAAAACGGGCTACGTTCCGTTTCGATTGTTGTAAAACAAAGGTCCGGCAAGGAGTAGACACGTTTGACTGCGTGCACCCTACGAGGCTCGGCCGTCACGGCGGCGCGCTAGTCAAGGCCAGCTTCTGGACCCGCGAGCAGGAGCTGGAAGAAGAGCGGGCCAATCAGGACGCAGCAGCAGAAGCAGCAGCAGCAGCAACAGCGGAAGAGGAGGCCTCTATCGGCGGGGACACGATGGCCGCTGGGGTAGGGGCGAGCAAGAGGAAGAAGAGGAGGAGGAGCGGTGACGTCCGTAAGAAGCGACACCCCGTCGTGCCCAGGGAACACGTGAACCTTCTCAAGGGGCGGTACCGGGAAGATCACCGGGTGATAGATGAGGATTGCGGCTGTCCCACCTGCCGGGGGGGGTGAGTGACGGCGATGTCTGTCCTTGTGTTTCGTCGTTCGCGTTGTTCCTAACGTTGTTGGTGTTGCTGTCCGGGTTTGGGATCGTGCACTATAGTGCCTAGCTGGGGAGAGGGTGCCCGAGCCACGTGCTGCATGTCAACGTCGTCTCGCGTTTTTTTTTTCGTGTATAGGTTTGTTCGTCGCACCATGATGCTGCCACACAGGATAGCCTGCTCTCTTTCTCTCTTTCTCTCCGTTATGGTGGCCAAGTGCTCTTAGCTTGACTGCTGTTTCTCGCGCCTCCTGACTCCATGTTTCCCTCTCTCAACAACCCCCCCCCCC